ACAACCATAAGTGCTGTTGTGTCTCATTTTCTTGTTTACAGGAAATGCATGTCCATTCATTTCCATATAAATCAGGTCGTCTTATCTTCAAGTTTTCTAGTACAGGTAAATTATTATTCATAGTTTTAATTTTAAACGTTTTAATTTTGCTTTCTGAGAATGATGTCCCTGGTTGTCTGTTGTAAGATGAAAAGGCAAAACTTTTCCATGTTCTGTCCTTTATTAACTTTGCATATTTTGCAAGCCTGTGTAATAGCAACCACCAATTAAAAGCTTCAGCTTGGTTAATTGATTTGATGAAGGAACATATTGGTTGTTCAATTAAAATATCATTAAAATATAAAGTAGCTTTAAGTGTCTTTGTTTTAGTGAAGTCGAATTTTATTGTTTGGCTTACAAGCCCTTGTTTAGCAGATAAGTCAGCTGCATTATTAAAAATATTGTTTGAATGTGCTTTAACTTTCCTACACTTCAAATTAATGTTCTTTTTTTTAATCAACTCTTCTATTATGAGCCAAATAGTAAAATTTTTAATTTTGTATTTATGTGTTATTGCCACATAAATACATGGATTATTGAAGAATTCTAAGTACTCAATTGATGTTTTGCTATCTGTATAAATGGTTACATTGCTATTTGAAGGAACTACAAGTAATGTTGTTAATATTGATATGGTTTCTGCTTTATTTGATGATGGCCAGTTTCCCATTCATGCATTAAAAGAATGAGTAATTTCATTATTGAGCTTTCTGACCCATCCTATACCCATATTCACTGATGTATCATCGATATACACATGTTTATATGATTTGGATAAAATTCTGCATTTGACAATCTTCAAAAACACGTGATCATACAAATTTTATTGCATTTTTGATTGGAAATTTTTTTCTCAAAAAATGGCGGTGTAGCACAAAAGTTCAGCGACTAAGTGACTTGCACTATAATACCAACAATCATTGATCCGCGTGATAAATCAAACACCCCTGGCAAAAAATAGTAACATACCACCCCTGTTATTGATATTTGGAGCATACTGTAATAATAACAAATGGAAGATTTTAAATAATCACGTTACTAAATTTTGATCCCTGAAATTCTTGGTAATACCAATGTTCACTTTGTCTGCATGCCCCATTTAATATTAAATTAATCTTCATCTTACATTAGTATTGTTAATCAAACATTTAAGGGTAAAATGGTTGATCATAAAAAATTTTTTTCTTTTTTAAAAAAAAAAAAATTTAAATTCCCAAAAAAAATAATACAAAAAATGAAAAGTATTATTAAACCACAATTTGAAATCTCAAAAATTCCTTGTAAACTTGACAAATTGAAACATTTTTCTAACCAGAAGGAATACTGCCTCGAAGAGGAAAAGAAAAAGCACAACAATGAAGGAGAAAATACTTCGTTTTCCTTTTTATTTTTTCATTGAAACAAATTTCATTTTTTAAAAGATTTTGTGAAAGTTGTATT